AACCCTAACCCCTAAACCCCCAAAAAGGCTCGCAGTTCAGCAAAGGCCGGGCCCCAGGCGGCGTGTTGACGATTAAGGCCGCCGTCTGCGGGCCCAAGGACGACGCCAGGGCCTTGTCGCGTGGGAATGCGTGAAGGGTTTAGGGTTTATAAGGTTTAGGGTTTAGGGTTTAGGGCTTAGGGTTTAGGGTTTAGGGCTTAGGGTCTACTTGGAGGATCACGGGACTTAGTAAGTAAGGTTATAAGTCCCTTAATTGGGGTTATAAGTATAGTTGCCCTAATTATAACCCTACTTACTAAGTCCCATGATCCTTTAAGTAGGGTTTATAAGGTTTAGGGTTTAGGGTTTGATTTTTTCTTAGAAGTGTTAAGGGATCCTCTAAGGGCTTTGTCAAGAGTCACTAGGAGTGTTAAGGGATTCCTTATACGGGCCTTGGCAGGAGTCTTGTGGAGGCTCTATGCTAGGGTTTAGGGTTTAGGGTTTAGGGTTTAGGGTTTAGGGTTTAGGGTTTAGGGTTTAGGGTTTAGGGTTTAGGGTTTAGGGTTTAGGAGTGTCAAGGGGTTCCTTATCTAAGGGCTTTGTCAGAGTTTTGTGGGGGTTTGAAAATAGGACCGTTAAGGGTTTCCTTATAAGGGCTTTGTCAAAGTTTTGTGGAGGTTCTATAATAGGACTGTTAAGGGGTTCCTTATAAGGGCTTCGTCAGAGTCTTGTAGGGGTTCTATACTAGGATGCCTCAGGTGTTCTCTGAAGACTTTGTCAGTCTTGTGAGGAGATTCTCTGCTAGGGCCAGGATATTTCGGGTGTTCTTTAAGGGGTTTTCAGTGTTTTGTGGAGGTTCCCGTTCTAGGATGTTGCGGTGTTCTTTATTGGCTTTGTCAGGGTTTTCTTGGAAGTGCTATACGTGCGTACTATGAGCAGGGTAGTGTCCAGGGCGTTTGGCTGAGAACTCGTAGCTGCTGGACTCTCGCCCCATCTACGACAGTGTCTCGTTAGGGTGTAGGATGAGGGAGACTCCTGAGGACAGGTCGTTAGCTTAGAAATTGGCTCATTTTGAAGTAGATCTCTGGCCGCTTGAGCTCTGCAAGTTCTGCCAGTTCACCTGAAGAACTTGACGCCGCGAGGTCGCAGTGGTTACGAACTCTGAAGTAGAAGGGATTGGCGAATCCTGAAACCTAAGACCTTGTTGTTCTGCCACCTCTGCGAGACTTGGCGACCAAGTCCACTCACACACTTACTTTATACCGGCCCTTCTCGTATGATTTCAAGATTCAACCCCTGAGCCATTCAGCCATCATCACAGCAACAATACATCTTTAAATCCTAAAAGGGCTAAACCCTAAACCCTAAAGCCTGCGACCCCTTTAACCTCACTCCCCTCCCCCAGGCGCTGCCCACCTCGATATCCAGCTCGAAGGAATGCTTGGCCTGGACCGTTTGTTGCGCTTGAGCCCGTGCTTGTGAAAACTGCTGCTTTCTGTCCGTCCCCTTCTCTTCGCTTCGGAAAAATGCGTGCTTCTTGGATTGGTTTGTGGACGCGTGGCACTTCCTCCCCACGCGAACTTCCTAGGACCCTTGAACTGCGGCTCTAGGAGGTGAGGCTTAGGCCTCATACGCTAAGAAGGGGCCTCAACAGTTCGAATAAGGTTATGATTTTGTGGCATAGTAGTGTTGCCGTCTGTGGGGACATGTAAGGAAATGGCATGAATTACGGTTTTAGCCTCGTGAAAGCCTACAAGGCCAGGCTCACGGAATGTTCTTAATACTCTCTTTCTCGCACAGACCTGCAGACTTCCAAAGGCATCGAGGTACATGCAAAGTGACACACAGGTGTGTAAGCTGATGTGAGAAGCTGTGGCTGCTGCAGGACACAAAGACTCACCTATATTTCCCAAAACCCTAACCCTTCAAACCCTAAACTAAAACCCTGTTTCTGAACCCAGACTCTGCCAATAAACCCTAAACTAAAACCCTAAACCCTAAACCCTAACCCATGTTTCCCAAAACCCTACCTACGTTGCCTTAGGAACCCCGCCCAGCCGCCAAGGCCTCGTCGAAACGCAGCGGAACGCTGCGGAAGTCGGCTCCCAAGCCGTGCGCCTCTTTCGGATACGGTGGGGTTCAGGTTTTCCCTGGTTTAAGCACGGGCTTAGGGCTTAAGGCTCAGAGGTTTAGGGTTTAGGGTTTCGGATTTAAGTTAGGGGTTTAGGGCTGTAGAGGTTAGAAACCCCTAAAGCGGCAAACAGTCCAAAACGCGGAAGCCTTTGCTGGTCGCTGGGAACCGCGCAACCCTATCATACTGGTACTATCCATCCAAAAGAGTGGGGCCTTATCCGTTAGAGCAGTTTCGGTGCTTGCTTGTACTACTGTATTCTACTATCCGATGCTACATTCTACTATGTTCGACTGCTTTCTCCATTCTTCTACGATATGGGGGTTTCCAAAAAGAGGGGACCCTAATATAGCACCCTAAATAGAGGAATCCTTATTATAAGGACCCCAAAAATAAGGTACCCCTTATTTTCGGAAAATTCCATATTGTCATGGTGCCTGAGACCGATAGAGCTCGAAGAAAGGCTCCAAGGCGACGATCCTCGGAGCGTGAGGCTGGTAGGGGTTGGGATTTTTTCCCTGAGGGTGCAGGGCTCAGGGTTTAGGGTTTAGGGTTTAAAGTCCGGGGTTTAGCGTTTAGGGTCTAGGGTTGACGGTGTAGGGTTCAGGGTTTAGGGTTGAGGCGTTCAAGACCCCAGGGCCTCTGTAAGGATGTGAGGGTTTAGAGCAACAGGGCTTCGATCTGGTGCTCTTACGATTTCCGGGCTGGGGTTCACGGCTTAGCGCTGAAGTCGCGACTCCCACACCGTGGCAGGTTGGGCGACTTTCGCCCTTGTCTCTCGCAGTGAATGTGTAGAAAAGCCACTTGAGGTGTCAGCAAGCCCTGCCATGATTTCAGACTTCAGGGCTGTGGACTAGGGCCCAGTAACCGCTTCAAAACTTCCGCGATTGAGGCTGCAGGGTTCCCTGGTTTTCGGCCTTTTCGATAAAAAAAGGGAGAGCTCAGAGCCAACGAAGACCAAGAAAAGGCCTAAGCAGAGAAGAGAGACTTGGGGTAGAAGACCGAGGCCAAAACCGAACCCTAAGCGCTCGTGTAGGGCCGGTAGAAACACTTCAAACGCTTCTGCATGCTTCTGGCTGTAATGGCTGCAACGTTAAGTTGGCGTCCGAAAGGATAGCTTAAACTTGCAAGGCAGGCTTAGGGCCCAAACCACGCAAGATGCCAATTTCAGGCCTCAAACTCATTCAGGAACCCTGACCCCTAAACCTCCACCAACCGCATCTCCAGAAACCCTAAACCCACCAAATCCGGTACATTCGTACGACATGGGACAAGCCGCTGCGTCAAAAACCGAGAACCTGGAAAATCGTCGAAATTGAACTTCAGAACAACACGGAATGCCCTTATTTCCAAGAGAACGCAACAAAAGCCACCAAACCCTGCAGTATCAGGCCCTTGTAGGATCTTCCAGAACCCTTTCGAAGCCCTTGAAAGGATCCCAGAGAGCCCAATACCGCTTCATTAAGGAATATAGCTTAAATCATAATATGAAGCCCCTTATAATTTAAGGTATATTCCCTAGTTAAGGGGTATTGGGCTCTCTGGGATTCTAAGGCAGCCCGAAGAGAGGCCAGGCGCTCTCTCGCTTCGGGAGACCGCGACAAGGCCGCCTCACCGCTTCGGTGGCTTTCGGTAAGGTTTAGGGTTTAGGGTTTAGGGTTTAGGGCTTCGGGTTTAGGGTGTAGGGTTCAGGGTTTAGGGCTTCGGGTTTAGGGCTTAGGGTTTAGGGTTTAGTAGGGTTTGATACAGAATGTGAGGGTTGAGGGCTTGGGGTTTTGGATTGGGGGTGGAGCGCGTTTTTGGTTGCGGCTTTCAGTCTTGGGGTTGTCAAGGTTTAGGGTTTAGGGTTTAGGGTTTAGGGTTTAGGGTTTAGGGTTTAGGGTTTAGGGTATTTTTGGTAGAGGTTTGTGGGGCTACAAGCCATGCGAGGAGCTCGGCGGTGATTCGCGATGTGAAGTAAGCTACGACGTTGTTGCTAGTACCCGGACTATAACACCCAATGTATATGCCCGTAAGGAGCTCTATATACCTTTGTGGAAACAGCCGTATAAACCCTACAGTACTTCAAGTTCTACAAGAACGAGGATGACGTGCAGGACTCTCTCGCTTCATTTGGGGGTTTCAGGTTTTAGGCTTAGGGGTTTGTGGCTTTAGGGCTTAAGGTGTGGGATTTCGACGCCCACACTCGGAGAATCCAGGCGATGCGATTTAGGGGTTGGGGTTTCGGATTTTAGGCTTAAAGTTCAACTGTCAGGTTTTCGGGCTTCGGGTAAAAGCTTGATGTTTAGATTTAGGCTCAGGTTACTGCTTCAGTCCTTCAGTAAGACGCAGGATTTGAGCGTCCACATTCTCTGGTCTGTGATTTGTGTATGCAGGGAAACCGTCCGCCTGTCCATCGACGATCTTGGTCAAACCAAAATCTTAACCCCTCAGGGCGGCCCCTGTGTGGCATTGAAGCTTTATCGAACACTTCTCGTACACTCGCCCTCCATGGTGTGTGGAGGGATACCCAGAAGAGGAAGAAGAAGACGAAGAGCAGAAACCACGACAAGGACAGCACAGGGGAGGGAAAATGTAGACGGAGCACTCGAGCCCAGCCTGACATCACCATCTCAGCCGTCATCACCATAGACACAACATCTCTTTTGATTCCCACACCAACCAAACCCACTAATAACTCGCATCCCTATACCCTACTGTAAACCCTGCATGGTCGCTTGCGCACCTGCATCGCGAGAAAGAGAGCATTCGTGGCGCCCACCGTCACAGCGACCTGCCAGCTCTCGGCGACCACTTGGGCTAGGAATTACCATGTCGGTTAAATTATACAATACATTATTATTCTATAGCATACCATATTGAAGCATATCACATCATAACAGAAGAATGCGCAGAGCTTCAGATCTGGATATAGACTCCAGACATGACTACAGGTGCGTAGTCGGATGAGGTGAAACACTTCCAAGAAGGCCCCGACAACGAAAAAAGTGTCAAGGTTTAGATATCCAGGGCATCTTTAGAAGAGATGCTTCGGAGGAGCCTCTGACACATGGGTGTAAGGTGCTCTCAGGGTGCTTAGGGGATAGGAGATACGCAGGCGAGATGTCCAGGTACCTAGATCAGGGCTTAGGGTTTAGGTGTTTAGGGTTTAGGGTTTAGGGGTTTCGGGTTTATGATTTTCCGTTATAGTTTTCCGTAAGAGCACGCCTCACCATGCCTTGCAGACCTATGCAACCTCGCAACCATGAACGGTTTTGGGTTTTTTGCCTCCCACCTAGCTAGGACAAAGCCCGGATCGCAGGGTAAACGGTTTGGGGGTTTCAGAAAATAGGGGACCCTAATATAGTACCCCAAATAATAGGATCCTTATTATAAGGACCCCCAAATAAGGTACCCCCTATTTTCGGAAACTCCCGTTTAGGGTTTAGGGTTTGGGGAAGTTAGAGCCGAAACCCGAAAACCCTTCAGCTTAACCCTACAGCTCCCTCATAAATAACCCCTTTAGAGTCCCTTTCTAGACCCCCTTTTATGGAACCCCGAAGCACCCCCATGGTACTTAGACCTCCTCAGTTTGACCGTCGCCCCAATTGTTTTCCAGACCCTTTTATGGAACCCAAAGCCACCTCCTTGAGGGCATCCAGCGGCCGACCTAGGTGGCCGCTGTACCGCTCAGCCAAGACCTGCTTCTTTCGGGGTGGGATGAACTGTTTAGGGTTGTTTTTTCTTTTTCGCATGGCTGAGGACTATGCTCGCAGGCGAGGCTTCTTTGGCGCACTTGCAAAATGGGGAGTTCCGAAAATAGGGGGCCCTAATAATATAGCACCCTAAATAGTAGGA